AAGGTGGGCAGAAGGGAAAATGGAACCTGAATGGAATAATAGGTAAGAGATAGAAGAGCAAAGAAGCAGGTCTGAATGGAGCATGGAGAGTGTTAGGGGCTGTGATATGTGATCAGTCCAGAAAGAGGAGCTGAGGGCAAATTCTGAAGGGCATTCAACGCTAGATAGAAGGATTCGAGTTGTGTCTCGAAGACAAAAGAAAGTCTTGGCTCCAGCCTTCCCAGCATGCCAAGACAAGCCCGCACCCCAAGACAAGCCCACACCCATCCTTACTTAGGCAGTAGCTTTGGAGAGCAAAGGGTCCCCTCTTTTGAAACTACGATGAGGCGCTGCAGGAAGATTTTGGTGGAGGAAGGAAAAGGCATCCATCTGTAACCACTTTGCCCATATTAAAATGGGAGGCACTCAGAATCTGGCCAGATATTTTCACTGGGGTCATATTCATTTCCAAAATAATTCCCAGGGGAGTTTTTCTTAAAAAAAAAAATCAACACACTAACTCTCTTAGAGTTACATACAGAGAGAACATGTCCCTTTTAACGTTCATAATTTGCAAACTATTCCTAAACTTAATGAAACAATAATTTGTCCTACTGATAGTCTCCTAAGCCAAATCCATCACCCCAGCCTCTTTCCTGGAATGTAGTAAGGGGAGGCAGCGGCAGAGAACAAGCACCCACTTTTTACCAGGCACTGTGCTAAGTGCCTTCTTTTTAAACAAATATTATCTCATAGTAGGCACTTCATAAATGCGTGTTGACCAATTGGTCATCCATCTTGTTGCTTGAACAATCAAGGCAAACAATAACTAGCGTGCTTTTAATCTCCATGAATTCAACTGGAATAAATTCAGCAAGCATTGATTAAACACCTCCTATGTGCCAGTTATTATGCTAGGGATACACAGACAACAACAGAACAAAACAAAACAAAAAAACCAACAACCTACATTCTACTGGAGTTACACAGCATGCACACAAGTAAGTAAATAGACATTTGAAATCAGCATTTGTACACAAAGTAAGGAAAAGTAACTTCCCTAGAGAGATAATGCTAATAACTGAGTTGGGGGTATGGAATCAGGAAAGATCTCCTGTAGGAGACACATCACCTGCATTCTGCTTTGAAGGAAGCTACCAATTTCATGGCAGGGGAGGGGAGGAGGGAAAGCACATTTATCTATTTATTATGTTATTTTCTTACTATATTAGATTGGAGGAAAAGGTAAGCAAAGAAAGATAAAATCTTTCTGGAAGATGTCTTCTTAATAAGCATTCCTTTCCTTTTAAAAAGTACAGCCACAGTGTATGGATGACGCAACTTTAAAAAAAAAAAATCTGTCTTCCTTCGACAGCCTTCCATCCCAGACGTTAATCCTGTGTCGTCTCACAGAGCTTTTCCAACCTTGAATCTGCCGTCTTCATAAAAGGCCACTTTCCCTGCGAGCTCAACAAGCAGGGGGTGAAACTTCTCAAGGTCTTTATTAAATTTTGCCCCGCCATGATGCCGTCAAGACACATAAAGAAATCTGACGACTTCATAAAATTCTAACTTATATTGAGGTTGCAAAGTCAGACTGTGTACCATTTAGAGCCTTCATTAAAATTCCCTTCTGCCTTCGTGCTGAAAGACATATAAGGAAACCCATAAAAAACCTAGCACCCTCTCTTCAGTTGCAGAGAAATGAGTGTTCTTACATTCCAAATGGTAAGGGTCACCTATTCCTTTTGTGAATCTGGGTTCCATAAGCATGTCATTCACAAGTGTCAATATTTCAATTTTTTTATATACTCTAATTATTTTTATGGCCTTTTAGGTAACTATATAAAATATTACCTGAGCTACTGAACATTTTTAAAAGTTGGGTTATGTGACGACCTGACTGTATGTCTGTATCCAATGATGTCCTAGTGGTTTTCTTTAGAGTACGGATGATCTTAAAAGTTCTTGTTGGAGAAGAAAAGCTAGTCCATGGAATAAAGGCAGGAATTTACAAAGATCTGGATTCCCAACCATCCACCCCGCTCGCATACATCCCATAAGCACCCTTGGGCTTGAATGAAATTAATCCGGTACTATAGCTAGCAATTTTTTACCTTCCTTGACGCTGGAATCTGGGTCTATGATTTCATTGTGGTAGAGTTCTCTGCTGAGAAACCCTGCAAGTGTGGGGCAGTGATCAGCTTTGGGCCTCAGAGAGTTGTCTGAGGGAAATGCCCAGAGCAGGGGCTCTTAACCTGGGGTCCACTGACCCCCAAGGGTTCTATTGAAAAATCTCAGGGGCTGTGTGAACTCAGATGGGAAAAAAATAACATCTTTGTCTTCACTAACTTCAAAATAAAATTGTGCGTTTCCATCAGTTATTTAAAACGTTATTCTGAGAAGGGGTCTATAAGCATCAGCAGACCATGACACATTAGGGACTCCTGCTCTAGAGAGCTGTCTTTTCTAGAAGGCCCAGGGGCCCACAAGCCACTTAGGGACAGTCATTTCCTCTAAGAGGAGGGGGGGGTGGCAGGAGGCTGTCTAGCTGAAACTAGTTTAGGAGAAGCCAGAAATGAGGCTAGAGTTCCTGAATACAGGCATAAAAATGGGCTCATGCCCTTAAGACTGAGTGCTGGGACTTTCGTCGCTCTTTGTGAAACTCAAATCTGCTTTGTTCTCCTGGAACCTGAGCTCTCTACCTGACCCAGCCCATGTCGTTTTAATTGGCTTCGGGAAGAAAGGGACAGTTTCACTTTTGTCCTTGTGTCCCAAGGGCCTGGCACATAGTAGGTGCTTAATAGATGCTTCCTGTTTGATTGCTTGGCTTCCAACCCTCTGTTTTACAGGCATGCATGGATGGCAGAGCTTGCTGTCCTGGGGAGAACAGTGTGTAGTTCTCCCTTCAGATTCAGCAAGAGTTTTGTGCTTTGATAAGGGGGAGTGGGAGAGTAAATGGGGTGAGGTCAGCCCCTTTGGATTTATTTGCTTACTTTTGCCACAAATGGTCCTAGTGTTGTTTGACATCATTCCCAAGAGCACTTGTACCAGACACCATGGAAACTGAGAAGCATTTAAGAACAGTTACAGGTGTATTTTTAAAGAGGTTCATGTGATATAGTTGGGGTTTTTTATGGTGTTATTGTATAATTTTTTAATGTTTAAAAAAAGGAAAGCATTCCCTTAAGAAGTAATTCTCAAGGCTCAAAGGATTTTTAGTCAGGAAAGGATCTCCTGGGGAGTTATTGAGTTCAGTCCCCCCATTTTACACATCAGCAAACTGAGACCCACAGTGGCGAAGGTCAGACAGGAAAGATGTGGCCGAGCTGGAATCTGACCATGCATCCCTTCACCCCCACTCCTGGGCTCTTTCTGCTAGACCATACTTCAGTTCTATGAAAGGGAGTGCATTCTTTAAATCATTTCAGCAATTGACAGGCTGGCCATCGGGTCCCCAAAAATATGTATACTTTCTAGTGAAATCCTTCCTTATGCTAAAATTCCTTTAAAGTGAAAGAAAAGTGGATGCTCCAGGGAGTCTGTCCATGGGACGGGGGTGGGGTGCAACCTTTTCATTCATTCCTCCATCCAGAGCTCATCACATGGACAGAGGTCCTGGATTCCAGAACGAGGTCTTGAGATCACAGATTTAGAGCTGAAAGGGTCTCTGGCAAGTCACTCTGTTTGCCTTAGTTTCCCCATCTGTAAAATGGGGATCATAATAGCACCTACCTCTGAGGTTGGTTGTGAGTATCCCATGAGGTGATACTTGTAAAGCACTCAGCACAGCGCCTGGCACATATGTGTTAGCTATTATTATGCAGATAGGAAACTGAGACCCCCTCCTCCACCCCACCCCTCCCCAGGATGGGGAAGTAGCTTAGCCAAGGTTACAGAAACAGCAGATGACCAAACCAGTGTTCAAATGTAAATACCAGCCAGGGAAGTGTAATTGATAGGGGCCAAATTGACCTTCATGTAATCATTTTCCATGGCTATCAGTGTGGTCTGGTGGAATGGCCACATTTTCTTAGTTAGAAGAGGCCTGCGTTTGAATCCTACCTCTAACACTCCAGGGGTCCATCAGTTAACCATTCTGAGCCTCAGGCTCCTGCTACCATTGCCCTTGGGGCTCAGAAAGAACGTGATTCATGGTGTAAGCAGGCTCCCAGCCTTAGCACCAGCATGGTGGCCCATATTCCCAATCCGTTTTCTGACATGGAGGGAAAAGATCAGTTTCTCCAGGTCAGACGTATCCCACAGACACCAAAACCTCACACATTAACAGCTTTCCCCGTTTGGAGAACTGTCTCAGAAATCCCTTTCTTATTTTGTTCTGAGGCTTTGAAAGGGAGGCAAAAGCAGGTTCGTAGCTCATGCCTCTGGCTATTATTTGTCTTAGAATTTCTGATACCTCTCGAAAGTGAGCATGGGCAGACAGCTGTGGAGACTTTAAGCACCACCCCAAGGAGATCAAACATTCATGCTAGCATTAGGGCATGTTTAACCTGTCACACTAGTGGGGGAGGGCAGCAGGACAGGGACCCTGGCGAAGTGAGATATCTCATTGTTCTGCCCAATAAGTAGAATTTTAGGAAGCTCGCCTTACCCTCTGCTAATTACAAAATGAAGATCTCTTCAGAATCCTTGGCATATGAAGGTGAGAGCTTAGGGAATGGTAGTACCCTAAAACTACACATTTTCTGCACTTACCAAAAAGGCGAGGGAGCCAGATGGTACAATGGGCTGAGCTCTGAACCTGGAGTCAGAAGGGTCTGAGTTCAAATCCTACCTCAGATATTTACTAGCTGGGCAAGTCACTTAATCTGTTTTCTCATCCAAAAAATGAGATCATAATAGGGTTGTTGAGAGGATCAACGGAGATAATATTTGGAAAGTGATTTGGAAATGTTAAAGCACTATAGAAATGCTAGTTGTTATTATCATTATCTAATTATCATTAGGAGTCAGAAGATCTAGATTCAAATCCTCTACTCTCTTACTTTCTACACAGGTAGTAAGATGGGATGTGCACATTTAGAGACATCTCCACTCAAAATATTCACGCGGACTATTTATTTGTGCCTGACCTGGGGGAGAGCCTTCTGAGCTCATCTTGGTCTGATAAGCCACAGTTGGACACACTGTACCTGGACCCCAACAGAGTGATATCATTTTGGTCCTCTTTGAGAACAAAGGACAACTTATGTCCATGATCATAAGCGACTCTCTGGGCCTCAGTTTCCTCTTCTGTAAAATGAGGAGGTTGAATTAGAAGATCTCCAAGTTCGCTCCCAGCTCCGAATCACATACTACTACTCATCTGGTAGTCGTACCTGTGAAGAAAGCAGAGGCAGCTTGATGGGGGAAGGGGGGAAGGCAGCAAGCAGGAGAAGGGTTGGCCCCACTCTAACTCAACCTTGCTCTCTTTTGCTGTTGGCACATTTTTTGGTAGACTTTGACTCCTTGAATAATGAAGTTTCAATTCTCTGAATAAAACTGATCTTAAACTCATTTTTTCATTTGTCAACTATTTATTAAGTTCCTACTATGTGCCAGGCACAGAGCTAGAAGCCAGGAATACAAAGAAAGACAAAAATAAGGAACTCCTATTCTAATTAGGAAGCTTTTGAAGTCCTGAAGCATGGACAGAGGTATGACTATGCCAAGTACCCCAAAGGGCCCTTCCATCACTTCTCATGGTCTTTGAAATCCCACCATTTGAGAGTCATTCCTTTGGAGCTTAAAAACATGCTGTTGAAAAGCAAAAAGGGCTGATGTTGGAGCCAGGGCCCTTGGGCTCCAGTCCTGGCTTGGCTACCTAGATGAGTTGGGAGAGTGCTCAGAGGCCATCTCCTCTGACCTGGGGATGGTAGGCAAAGCCCTTGGCTTGCATCTGTGCAATGGCGCCTCTGCCCTGGCTGCTTGCACCTCCTGTATTGGAGGAAGTGCCCAAACTTCTCTCTCAGCTCAGCTCCTGCTTCTCTGGACTTCCCTGGACTTTGTATATCATCTTCCCCAGATAGGAAGTAAGCTCCTTGAGGGCAGGGATTGTCTTCCCTTTTTTTGTGTTTGTATCCCCAGTGCCTAGCACCTAGTAATGCTTGTTGACTCTCTGTCTCTGTCTCTCTCTCCCTCTCTCGCCTCTCTCTCTGTCCCTCTCTCTTTTCTTTCTTCTCTCAACCTCTCTCCTTTCTCCCTCTCTGTCCATCAACTTATCAATCTACATTTCTATCTCTATTATCTAGTTATCTACCCACCAGTCTTTCTCTCTATATATGTATGTATGTGTGTGTGTATTTAATATCTATCTGTCTAATGGAAATAAGAATATTAGTACTAAAAAGAAGTGCAGCCTGCTAGTACCTCAGGGCTCACAGGCGGGCTTTGAAGAAAGAGCTTTGTAAACTGGAAAGTCATCTATAAATGCAAGTCATTATTATGATGTAAGGTACTACCCATGTTCCTTCCCTAATAAAATGTGAGTCCCCCTGGGAAGGTATTTGCCCTAAGCTTCAGCTAACACCTTTTGTGGGATTACTTAATAGCTCATTGAGAGACAGGCCCAGGGAAATGAGACTCTCGCAGGAGGGGAGAAGGGAGGAATGAGCAGAGGTGTCAGCATGGAGGGAAATGTGTGGAAAGGAGGAAGTCAGAGGGCACCCTGGGCTCCTTCTCAGTTGTACCTAGATCAGGCCCTCTTTGCAGTTCTCTGAGAAAACCAAATTTCCTTTGTTGAACTAAATAGCGAAGAGCCTATTGCAGAGGTCTGTATGGGCCTTTCAGGATGTGCATCCCTGCCTCTGGCCCCTAGACCTCCGCCAAAATGAGTAAGGACAACATCTGATGTCCGCTGGATGTCAAAGACACCTCTGCTACTTAGGTGAGTTTTGAGCATATCGGGCACATAGTAGATGTGATCCACATGGTAGGCACTTAATTGTCAAGTGATTGGTTGATCTACATCAGGGATGGGGATCCTGGGGCCTTGACACCCCACGTGGCCTTCGAGGTTCTGCAGTGCTACCCTTTGACCAAATCCAAATGTCACAGAACAACTCCCCTTAATAAAAGGATTTGTTCTGAAAACTCAGTCAAAAGGCCCCACCCAAGAACCTAGAAGGTCACATGTGACTTTGAGGCCAGAGGTTCCCCACCCCTGGCTTACATTTTACAAATGAGGAAATTAAGACCTAGAGGGGTGAGTCCAGTTAATTAAAGCCAAAGTTCAGCAGATCTTATCAGAATAATGACCAACAGTAAAAGTTCTTAAAGTTTGGCATTCCCCTTTCCTCTTCAGAATCTAGAATTGATTCCTCAGAGCTGCAGATGGGCAGAGAATCCAATATTTGCCCCGTGTGAATTGGCATGAGTGTCCAAAATGAAGAGTAGAGAGAGGGAATGAAAAAAGGACATTACGGGGCATCCATGGAAATCTCACCTTATCCTGGGGCCTCCTTATTGCACCCCTCTGCACAGAGCACCTCCCCTCTGAGGCTGAGGGTCTGCACCTTCTATTTGATACTATGACCTCTAAGGCCCCGGACAGCTCCAAGTGTATGATCCTGTTGCACGTCCTTCTTTCTTTTTCCTTTTCACGGAGCGCCTCCAGGTGTTTGTAGAGTTCCTCCGCTTGCTTTTGTTCATTCATTTCACAGAAGTTCCTTGAAAGTCCTGGAATTACCTTTACAGTCAAGAAAGGGTATCTCAAACATAGGGAGGAGCAGAGTTGCAAGGGACAAGTCAAATTCTCCTTCAGAAGCAATGGTTGCCGCTGGTGTACCCTAGGAAATAAAAAGCGGTCCCCTTCAGGAGTCACTTTTGTGTTTTCATGATGGTGACAAGGCTGCTGAGTGAGAAACAATTTAGAATGCATGAATTGGCCCTTTCCTCTAAGTGTTTGGGCACCTTGCACGTGGAAAATTGCAAAATCATCTTCTCTTGTTTCCCCCATGACGCCCTTTGAGGCAGCAAAACCTGAAGGGAGGGGAGTGGTGTGCTTACACCACAGTTCTGTCCCATTGAGCATCAGTACGATTTCTGAACTTAGATTCCATAATAGCAGTAAAGCTTTGCCAAAGGTTTTATGGATAGGAAGTGGCTAGGAGGACTTGGCCTGCTCCTACTAATACCATCTTCTCAAATGCCCCATGGTTCCTTGTTCTCTGTTCTCTCTTACTCTTATTACCACCGCAACTGGTGCTTCCTCCTCAGTTTCCAATTGAGGAAACATGGCAAAACGTAAGCTCTTGTCTCTTGGAGAGAGAACCCCTTGTGGGAAAGACCAGAGGCCAGCAAACCTTCAGGTGATAAAGTGTCTGAGAGGACCCCAAGTCCCTGCATCCCATATGTAGGAAGCCAACTGCAAACATGTTTTTCTCATCTTTTTCTATTGATCTGTTTTCTTAGAGAACCATGACGGAGTGTCAGATTTAAAGAAAAGAAAAGGGTGGGGGGAGAGGGAAGGCTGGATAATTTTATGACCAATTACTCTACTGTTTTGTCTCTAAAATAAAAGAAAGCCATAGAAATCAGATCCTTTTTGGAGCCTGAACTAATTACTGTGAGGACCAGAAAATGATTCTTTTCCCATCACAGAACAACGAGCCGGGTGGATTCTGGGGCTGCTGGTTCCAGGGTTAGAATAGCCCGTCACTTTTGGGTTCACAGCCGTTATCTTGGTCACTCTATCTCTTGACTATGCTTTAGTAAAGTAAGTTCATAGTACAGTAGACTTTAGAGTGCATCTAATCCAGTCCCCTCCTTTTACAGATGAGGAAACTGAGTCCCAGAAAGCTGGTTACTTGCCCAAAGTCTCATGGATTGTTAAGCAAAAAAGCCCCAGGATTCAAATCTGGTTTCCCTTTGACCAAATTCAACCCTCTACTACTCCTGGACAATTCAAGGGTCATAGGGATATGGCTCTAGATGGACAGGAAACCTAGAAATCAGCTAGTCCCAGAGTTCCTAATCTGGAGAACACAGGAACAGATTTCAGACAGTTCACAAATCTGGATGAGAAAAAGTGACATCTTTATTTTCAGTAATCCTTGGTTTTCCTTGTAATCATATGTACTTTATTTTATGCATTTAAGAACCTTATTCTGGGAAGGAACCCAGAGGCTTCCCCAGACTGCCCAGGAGTTCGTGATACAACCCCTGGACTAGCCCAATCCCCTCATTCTTTAAATAGGACAACTGAGGCAGGCCAAGGAAAGGGGGAGGGGAGTGACTCACCTCAAGGCCACACAGGTACTAAATAACACAGCCAGGATTTGAACCCAGGTTCTCTTGACTCCAGATGAGGGCTTCTTTCCTCTGTACCACTTTACCTGCAAAATGTGGGTATGTCAATGAACTAGGAATTCTTCTGGCAATTCCCTCCCCTACCAAATCTCAACCCATCTATCTATAAATAGATAAGCCTGAGGCTCAAAGACTCCAGGCGATTTGCCCAGGGTCCTACATGCTCCCGGTAAATAAGTGTAGGAGACAGGATTTGAACTTATGTTTTCAAGAGTCGACTACTCCCAGCTGCCTTTCCAGAATGAAGACAAGAGATGCTTGATTGGAGCATCTTTCACCTCAAGGGGTCAGTTGTGACTGCAGAGAGCATGTGTGTATAAAGCTCCCTTTCTCCCACCTTCTCTTAATGGCAGAGAAATCCCCAGAGGAATTCAAAGGCTGCTGAGGTTCCACTCAGCTCTAAAGCTGGGATTTTATCATGCTGTCATCTGCTTCCTTCTGTTCCGCCCCCACCTCCATCCCCCAGCTATAAAGACGTCTTAGCCTCAATAACACCTGCATTTCATCTCACAGGACTGGGAGGGATAACACAGAATAGCTTAAAAAGTGTCTTGAGCTCTAGGAAAGAAAGAATCATGATAAAATATGAATACTGATCTGCTAAATGTGACCTCCTACAAGAAGTCTTCCCTGATCTCCCCAGTTGCTGTATATACTTACATGGCATAACTCTGGATAGTCTGAAGCAGGATGTGAACTCAGGTCTTCTTGACTCCAATACTCTATCCACTGTGATACCTATCTGCTTTCTGCAATGCTCGTAATGACCCATCCAGGTAGTTCCCTATAGGGAACATCCATTATGTTGAGGGTGTTATACATGTTCTTTTGTTGAAGGAAGGAAGGAAAGAAGGAAAGAAGGGAGGGTGGGAGGGAGAAAAGAAATAAGCGTTTATTAAGTACCTATTATCAATCAATAAACATTTATTAAGAGACTACTGTGTACCAGGAACTATGCTAAGTGCTCTATAGATATTAATTCATTTGATTCTCACTACTGCTATTATGACCTCCATTTTGCAGATGAGGAAACTGAGGCAGACAGGTTAAGTGACTTGCATGGCCACACAACTAGTGAGTATCCGAGGCTGATTTGGACTCATCTTCCTGAATCCAGGTCCCACACTCTCTCTGTTATACTACCTCACTGCCTCTTCCTTCCATGTTGGGTAGGAGTAAGCAAAGTTAGTTGCTGGTTGTCCAAATGAATGCAATTTGCCAATATATGCAAAAACTGTCCTCAGAACCACTTCAATTTCCTTCAAGTGTGAAGTCCATTCTTTGTGCAGGACAGTCTCAACCACACCTTCCTATCTTGGCTTCTGGCATCAGGACTGAAACTCTAGTCATGTGAAGGTCTAAGAGGTACAGTGAGATGTGGAAGTTAGTTTGGAAACCAAAATATTATGTCAGCAGTTTTCTCTTTCATTTACCCTCTCTTATCAAAGACAACTTTCTTCTAAAACTCCAGAGCCCTGTTAGTAGAAACGCAGATAATTTCATTTGGAAGGCCCAGGAACTTTGTCTTGGAAAGGAGAGGATTGGGGGGGGGGGGCGAGGTGAGTACTTTACAGCCCCTGAAGGCACAAAACTGGAAGGGTTAACTCCACTGCAGAAATCCTTTTAATACATCTCAGCTCGGTTTAAGAAAAGGTCAGTTGTTAAATGCTCAGAGAGTTGGACAACTTGGCTCCCTGGGAAAAAAAAATAACCACAAATACAATTTCTGGGATAAAATTAAAACTTTTTTTCTTTCTCCTATCTTAAAAACACCAACCGTAACAAGTCTATCTTGACTCCTGTGTGTATTTTTTTTCCTTTTCAGTTTAAGAAGTGATCTGTAATTTCTACAACAAATCAATAGAATGATTGACAAGTATTTATTAAGCACCTACTGTGTGCCAGGGAATACAAAGAAAAGGGCTGAACAGAGCCTGCCCTCAAAGAGTTTGCATACTCTGGAACACACTGAATGTACACCTATAAAGGCTATCGGTAGAGACAAAAGATATTCAAAGAGAGTAAGGTGGATTCTGAGGGCTTCTGTCCAAGTCAGTAGTTCTAAACTTTTGCTGAAAGTCTTCATGTGATAAAAAATTCTCTCTCTCTCTCTCTCTCTCTCTCTCTCTCTCTCTCTCTCTCTCTCTCTCTCTCTCTCTCTCTCTCTCTTTCTCTCTCTCTGTGTGTGTATGTCCCTCTGTCTCTCTCTCTTTCTGTCTCTCTGTCTCTGTCTCTCTGCCTTTGTCTCTGTCTGTCTCTGTCTCTCTCTCTTTAAAGGATTTTGAAGAAATGGGCACCTAGATTCCAGGCAGCTGTCAGTTCAAGGGAATCCTTTTTCCTTTCCATCTTTCTCTGATAAACTTTCTTGGGAGATAGTGCCCAAGTTCTGACCATCCCTGGTTCTCTTCCACAAGAGGCAGAAACCAGTAGGCATCTTCAGGAAGAAGCAGTATGCTTTGGTTATGGCTGCTATAAGGTTAGCTTGCAGCAGTCAGCTCCATTTCAACTCAATAGTCATTTATTAGATGCCTACTGGCTGCAGGGTGTTGTGCTAGGCTCTGGAAAGCTGGTGTGGTAGAGTGCATTTAGGGCTGGTTTTCTGGTCAGAAAGGTCTTTCTGCCTCTAACTGATACTGGCTGAGTGACCCTGCTAGGCCACTGTCTGAGACAGTTTATAACAAGTGGACAAACATAAGAAAAACTCTCTTCTTTCTAACACTGCTGAGCCAGGCTGCTTTGCCCAGGTCCCTGCTTGCTTCTGGAGACAGTGCTTGCCCCCAGATTCAGAGGTCCTTCTGTTTGTGCCGGGATGCTATCCACCTGGTCTACAAGAGGAGGAGTGAGGGGGAGGAGAAAGATGTCAGAGAAAGTTTAAGGAAACGAAACTTGGACAGCAGCAAGACTGATGAAACTGGACCCTGCCAAAGGATAATCTGTCCTCTCTTTCCCAGCTGGTTTCAGGGTGACAGGCACAGCCACAGAGTCTCCTTGCAGCTGACCCTGCTCCCTGACACAAAGCAGGGTTCCCTGACTAGTCTGAAGCTTCCATCGATGTTATCGGTCTCCAGACGAGGCAGAAGGCAAGATGGAGCCGCCCTTTCTAGAAAGGGGACGAGCATCTCATTGGGGCTTCACAGCAGCACCTACAGACCTGTAGATAGCTATAAGTGTTATTATTTCCCCCTTTTTATGCATAAAGAAACTGAGGCTTAAGGTGTTCAGTGACTTGCTTGGAGTCACAGAATCAGAGGTGAGATTTGAACCCATGCCAGCCTGACTCTGGTCTGACACTCTGGAGCCCAAGCCACACAACTCTGTCTAAAGATCATGACCCCCCAGATTTAGCACATGCTGGGCATACTCTAAGTGCTTAATAAATGTTTGGTGACTGGACAGTCATCCAGCAAATCTATAGTGGAGGACAATGAGACCCCGGGTCTCCCAAGTCAGACCCCCAATACTGACTAGTTGGTGTACTCTCCCCATTTGCTCTCTGGTTTGTATTTGTTCTGGGCCTCTGACAAGTCCACCCTTAATAAGAATTTTGCATAATGATCGAAAGAGGAAGTTAAAGGAAGTTAAATTTGAAAGGGAGGAAGTGGGCTGGGAATGAGTTGGGCGGCCAGGATGGTGCTGACTGGTGGCTCTCTCTGTCTTGGGTTCTGCTCCAGAGAAAGGAGATGCTGTTCCTTCTGTGGAAGGCCAGGCCTGCAGGTGCACAGGCATTTGGTCCTGCCTCACATATAGGCTCCTGGCATGAGCAGATCCTGGCCCTGATCTGCTTGGGTCAGTGCCTCAGTCTGTACACCTGGAAAATGGAGTTGACCTGCTTTTCAAGGGTGCCTGTGGGGAGCAAAAGAGTTTAAATTCATGTTTTCTTGTCCAATATTCCTAAAGAACTTTCAATGGACTTCTCTTCTCTTTGATACCATCACTTCCTGCCTTATCTGTGTAAAGGTCAAATTCAACTCTGTGTCTCTCTGTTTTTGTCTCCCCCTCTCCCTACTCTCCTCTCTTTCCCCTTCCCTCCCTCCCTCCTTCTCTCTCTCTGTCTGTCTCTCTGTCTCAAACACACACACACACACACACACACACACACACACACGCACGCACACATGGGATTGTAAGCTCATCGTGGGCAAGGATTGTATCTTTTTTAAATGTTCGTGTCCTAATGCCAAACACATGTTCATTTCCCTGACTCACATATTTTTGGAACTGGGAGGCAGCTCAGTAGCCATCCAGTCCAGTCAATGTCAGAAAGGTGTCTGTGCCCATCACAGACGTGTGGCTGTGGTCAGGCTGGCCAGTTTGCTCGCATAGAGAAGAACCCTCCAAGACAGCCATCCATTCCACTCAGGAAAGCTCGAACCTTTAAGGAAGTTTGGTTTTCGCTTTCCTAACATGTCTAGATGTATCTCTTCACAACTTTCACTGATTGTTCCTGGTTCTGTCCTCTGGGGCCAACCAGAATATGTCCTAATCCCTCTTTGATCAGACAGCTCTTTAAATATTTGAAGACAGCTATGATCCCCTGCTCCATGCCCTTGGGTTTTTTTTTTCTCCTTTAGGCTCACCATGACCAGTTCCTTCAGCAGATGCCTCAATAATTCCATTTCATTAGTGTCCACACTCCCTCCACCTACACAGATTGCACCCCCTCTACAATTTAGGAGAAATAGTGTGGCCAGGCATGTCATCACAAGTCAGCTTCTTGGGGTTGGCTTCTCTTCTTCTAGGCTTGTGGTTCATAATCCATGAGGGCTTTGCAGCTCATGAGGCCCTTTCAGGGCTGGTGAAGGCGGATGTCTCTGCCTTGCACACAGTGGGCACTCAGTGGTTTGTAAAATGGAGCCAGCAGAAACACAGCTCTCAGGCTTTGGTCCCAGGGAGCAGGCTTCATGGGGAAAGGAAAACTGGGGAAGGCATTCGAAGGAAGCCCACCTGGAGGTATTGGACTAGGGGACCTTTAAATTCTCTTCCTGCTCTAGACCTGTGGTTCTATAATGGTAGCTTCCTAAGCAGAGGCAGCTAGGTGGTACAGTGGACAGAAGGTGGATTTGGATTCCCGGAAAGCTTGAGTTCAAATCTTTTCTCTGACAGTTACTGTGTGATGCTGGGCAAGTCAGTTAGCCTCTACCTGCCTCTGTTTCCTCATCTGTAAAATGGGAAGAAAAATAGCACCTACCTGCAAGAGTTGTTGTAAGCAAGTGTCAGGTGAGAGAGAGAAGGTATGTAAAGCACGTGGTAGACTCGGGAGCTCTTTCTCCGGGCTCGCTATGATTACAGAGCGCGCCCAGGCAGAGGACAGAGACGCACGGAGGGGTGGGATAGATGGAGCTGTGGGCTTACTTAGCTTCGCTCGTAGCTTGCCGTTTCAAGGATGCCCCCTCCCCAGCACCTAAGGCACCACAGGAAGAAGCTCCGGGGACCATCCGGCGAATTTCTAGGAAGCGCTTGCGAGTAAGTCTCCCCAGACGGAAGAGGGGGCAGAAGAGGAAGCTCAGGCTGCTCGTCTCCCTCCCCCACTGCCATTCTCCCCACTTCCCTCTTTCTGCCCACTACGCCATCCATCTCCCTTTGCCTTAAATCCTCCCTCATCCTCAATGGCGCTAGATCCTTCCCCTCCTCTCGACATTGGTGCGGGCTCACCATGCTGCGCCCTGATTAATATTCTTAACGCACAGCTCTGATCGTATCACTCCCCTGCCCACAAACAATCCTCAATGGCTCCCACTGCCTCCCAAGTGAAGTCCAAAGACCACAGCCTGACATCGAGGGCTTTTTACAGTCTGGCTTCCAGTCACATCTCAATTCTAAAGAATTTAGTTTAATTCAGCAGAGAGTGACTCGGAACCTGCTTCGGGCACACATAGCCCCGTGCTAGACGCTTGGGGGAGCCCAGCTCCTGCCTCTAGGAGGGAGCTATGAGAAACACACAAGTAATGATAGTACTAAATAATATAGTAATGACGCAGGAGGCACAAAGAGGATCTGAAAGGGGTTATTAGCAACAGGAGATCAAAAAGGTCTGCATGGAGGAGGTGGCAGCTGAGGTAGACTTTAGAGGATGTGTTTGGAGCAGGGGTGACCATTACAAATTTATTCCCATTTGTGTATGAGAAGCAAAGGGGCCCAGGGGAAAGAATCACAGCTCTGGAGTCAATAATATGCATTATATTAATATTACAGACACAGACACACACACTCACATACACACCCCTTCCCCTCTCTTACTTCCACCCAGCCAGAAAGTCCTTCTCTCTTGTTCTCACTCATGACCCTCCGTCTCCCATCTCTGTGCCTTTGAACTGGCCATGCTCCAAGCCTGGAATGCCTTCCATCCTCCCCTCTGCCTCACAGAAGAGGCAGCTCAGGCACCATCTTCCGTGTGAAGCCTTTCCTGATCTCCCCAACTGCTCCAGTCCTCCCAAACTCTCTTGCATTGAACCACTTTGGATTTTTCTCTTTACAGTTATTCTGTATATACTCATGTCTGTGCTTGTGTCCACCATTAGAGTATAAGCCTTTTGAGAATAGGGATTGTTTCATTCTTTTAAATAAATTCCCATCTCCCTTGCAGAGTACCTCAAACATTGTAGGTGCTTAATAAATGCTTGTTTATTGATTGGTTGAAATTGAGAGTGGATATACAAACATAGAATTGAAGGGAACCTCAAAGACCCACTAACCCAGGGACTCACCTATTTATGTCATGGATCCCTTGGACAGTCTGGTAAAGCCCATGGACCCCTTCTCAGGAGAATGATTTTTTTAAAAAATCATGGTTGATATCATAAATTAAAAATTAAGAATATGTGAAGAAAGATGCTATCTGCATCCAGAGAAAGAACTAATAAATAGAAGTATGTATAGAATAATTTTACATATATATACCTATTCAGTGTCTAATGGTAACCATCTCTAGGGCAGGGTGGGGGGAGAAAGAGAAAAAAAGGAAAAAAATTACATCATAACTTTATATATTTAAAAGGAATAGCACATTGTACATAATAGATTTGCAGTTTCATTGCAGTTATCTCTTTTATTATACTGTTACAGAAATGTTTTATTCCATAAGTTAAAAATCAAATAAATTTTTAAAATTAAAAAGAAAAAATTATAATTGAAGGAAATGTTAAATTTCAGTTTGAAGTGAAAAACTATTTGGGAGAATGTTTTTTTTTAAAATCATAATTGAAGGAAATGCTAAATTTCAGTTTGAAATGGGAAAAATACACAGGAAATGATTTTTTAAAAATCATAATGGAAAGAAACTCTAAATTTCAGCTCAAAGGAATAAAAAGATATATTTCTTTCCCCATCTAAGTTCACAGACCCTCTGAAATTTATCTGCAGACTTCAAGTTAAGAACCTCCAATCTAGCCCAAACATATCATTTTACAAGAGAGATTGAAACCAAGAGAATTTAAGTGATTTGCCCAGGATAACACAGGCCATAAGTGGCAGAGCCAGGATTTCAACTCAGATCCTCTTACTTCCCATACAAGCTAATTGGAAGAAGGAGAAAATTCGTACGATTAGAGGGATCAGCAAAAGCTTCGAGAGGTGGCACATGAGGAACCACACTTTGAAGGAAGCTAAGTCGAGGCGGAAGGGAGAAAGTAGTGGGATGACCAGTGTAAAGTCAGGAGGTGGAGGGCTGAGCTCAGAGAGAGAGCAAGCCGACCAGTTTGCCTGGAACAGAAAGTGTGTAAAGAGGCGTAGGGTGCAGTAAGTCTAAGAAGGTGGACTGCCTTTAATGTCAAACTGAGGGCTTTGTATTTGCTCCTAATCCAGTTTTGCTGAGGGGAATAGCGTCCATCAGAATTGCTCACAAACTTCCCCTGAATCTCGATTTTCCCTGGCAGACAGAAGGCGCTTAATACGTGTTTGTTGATTGTTTGGTTGACATTAGGTATATACAACATGCTCTTCCTCTAACAAGACTGGGGCATTTTTCACCAGCTGCCCTGATGCCTGGGTCTCTCTCCTTTCTTCCTGGCTGCTTCCCCGGCTTCCTTCAAGTCCCTGCTAAAACCCCACCTTCTATAGAAAGCCCTTCCTGATCCCCCTTAATTCTAGTGCCTTCTTCTGCTGATTACCCCCAATTAACCTGTCGATGTATCTTGCTCATGCATCCTTTGCTGTTGCCTCTGCAGTTAGACCATGAGTTCCTTGGGAACAGGGACACTTTTTTTTTTTTATTCATTTGTGCCTCCAGCACTTAGCATGGTGCATGTCACAGAGTAGAAGCTGAGTAAGTATTGATTCACTTAAGGTCAGAGCAGTTAGAATTGGAAGAAAGTTTAGAGTTCAAATGTTTTTAAAATGGGTTTAGACTAGATGAAGAGTCCATCCGCTTCTAGACCTAGGATCTTGGACATGGTCCCTCTAGAACAATGATTCGTGGGGACTTTTGCTCTTTTAAGGTTTTCAAAGCCCTTCACCTACATGATCTGACTTGATCCTCAAAAGACCCTGTGATGGAAGTCTGGTTATTATCCCCATTTTACAGATGAAGAAACTGAGGCTCTGAGAGGCCGTGACTTGCCTAAAGAACTAGGAAGTGTCAGGGGTGAGGATTTGAAAGTGGGGTCTTCCTGACCAGAAATCTGTTACCCACCCAGCCCCTGGAGAAAACAGGAAAGCACAATACTGTCTGGCTTGCTGGGTGGAGAAGGAGACCACCAGGGTGAGAAGGGGAACGTCACCAGAACATTCAAGGCTTTGGGTCCCAAGAACAAAGTTCATCTTTGCAGTTTGGTACAGGGTTGTACTGATGGCTGGGAGTAGTGAATCTGTAGCCCTTTTCTTTCTCTGGCTGGCACAGCCTAAAAGTGGTCCCTTCTCAGAGGTACCTGTGCCCCAGACTCCTCAACCCCTCTGACTCCGTCCACTATGAAAACACAGGACACCCAAGTCGAGGGGATTGCTGAATAACACCACATGGGTGTGCAATGGTCTGTGACCAGAAGGTTCACTGGAAACAATTTGCACGGGGGGCCTTAGGAAACCACCTGGATGGTTCTTTTAAATGAAAAAAGGAAGAGATACCACTTTTTTTCTGAATAATTTTTAATACTAGCTGGGTACATGTGATAGTCATTAAAGCTTATTTAACCCTGAAATTATCTGGCCCCTCCAATTCCCCCAGGGACTCTCTGGGTCTTGGGTTAAAAATCTGAAATAGCGTCTGAGAGGAGGTGATACACTCTTTCAAAATCTGAGTCAAGTAATTCCAGGCCTCAAATTGTTTTCTGAGCGGCCGATGTTGATTGCTGTCCATGTTTACTCCCCTCTTTCTCCACGGGGTTGGGTTTGGAGTCTTCTCTGGGCCTCCTCACTCTTTTTTTTTTCAGCCTGCTGTCCCTCCTTTAGAAAGTGCCTGGTATCCTGCTGTCCAGGCTGGGCGTCAGTGGCCTGAAGATCAGCCCCCAGCATTCTGACCTCTCCCCAATCCCAGGCTTTTCTCTGTCTTCCAAGTAAAATGAAGACCTTGTGCTCTGGGAGTCTGTAAGTTCGGCTCCAGCCCCACACAGCTGCCGTGTTCCCCCACCGCCCTCTCCCTGAGGAGGAGACATACTCCAAGGGAGGGTGTGCAAGCATTCCTGAGCCAGCCGGCTAATCTGGAGACATGGCTCTGTTGGCTGGGGTGCCGAATCCAAGGAGGCTCCCACTGGACTAAAAGCATCCCAGTCCTCCCCTCCCAGCAGCCCCCAGCCTGAGTGCAGCTCAATAGAGATAGGACAAGGGGAGTGGGGGAGAGAGATCCGGAAAGGAACAAACAGATGAAAAGAGGAAACCCTTGTGTCTGAGTGGAATTTCCTCTGGAGTACAGGATACCCTTTATCATTAACTGGGCACAGGAAGGAAAATGGGGAAACAGTGTAAAGGGTGGGGGGTGGGGTGAAGGGAGCCAGCTGAACTAAATACCTGAAATGGGGGGTAGTTCTCAGGGGGTAGCAAAAACTAAGAATAAAATGAAAGATCCTTACATTTGGACCAGCAAGTGCAACTGCCTTCTTAAATCCCGTGGAACCACAATCTTGAGTAAAACACAGTTCGACATCAATGATGAAGGTTTTTTGGACTAGAAATGCCCTGACTCATTTTTGGCCTGGTGGCATCCTCCTTTGTGCAATGCTTTGCCTTTTTTAAAAATCCAGTCTTCTCTTTGTGTTCTCCGTGGTCACCCTCAGATGAAGAGAAGCCTTCCCAAGCCCAAACACACCTTTAAGAATCCTATAATCTTTCCTCTGCTCAAGGCTCTCTCTCTGTTGGTTCTAGAATAAAATAGAAATTCCTGTGCTTGGCTTCTGAAACACTTCATGGTGTTTCTTCAGCCTCTCTTTCAGTGTGTATTTCACATCATTCACCTCAACACATTCACCATTCAGCCAAAATGGCCTTTTTCATGTTGCTCCCAAACCTGGCATTCGATGTCCCACCTCAGCAGAGACTATTC